CCAAGCCTAGGGAGCCTTCAGATGTTTCCTGCCCTGATTTATGAACCAGGGAGTCAGCTCACTGGAAATCCGCCACCTGTGTTAGGCCGCTAAGGCAGGGGCTCCCATGTCTGCTTTTTCTCTAAGTGTGCAGAACTGGCTGGGAAAGACACGGTCATGCTGAGCAAGAGGCTGCTGTTCTGAGTCTCCAGGGCATGTAGCCCACGCCAGGTGTGGGGGACCGACTGCTGTGACTGGCCACATGGCAGTCCTGTCATTTGGGTTGCAGATTAAAAAGGCACGCAAAGAGCAGTGGCACTGGCCTGCTTTTTTGGGACCCTGATCTTGGGCAAATCAAGTTAGGCAAGCCCAAGTCCGCTCACTAGATGCCCGTTGCAGGGAGCGTGTGCCCAGCCTGTGCACGCACAGATGGCAGGAGGCTCAGTGACGCTGTGTGAGCGAATGGGGGCCTCAGGCATGCTCATTCTGTTTGCTTTGATCAATGTGCTTACTTTTCCCTGTAAGAGCTTCTTCAACTGTGTCATTTACCGGATTGCTCCAGTATAATCCCTCTTCTGCCTAAACGTTAGTGAATTTTGCTCTCTAGCTTGACCCTCCTGGTTGATGCCTGCCCTGCCTCGAGTGGAGATCAGTGCCCATTTTGCTTTCTTTGACTTTAGTAGAAAGAAATGGGTCAGTTCTGACTATCTTCCTTGGTAGTGTGTCGACCCTACCTTTTTTCTTTTTAGTGTATAGAGTTCCATGGATACAGACTTGCACACACACACACACACACACACACACACACACACACACACGTACTTCAAGGTACATACACACATGTATTACATGTACATACATGCCTGTGAACATCTTTGTCAGTTTTTCGCCGATATGATAAAATGTCTGTTGGAAACTAATTAAGAGAGGAAGGGTTTCTTTTGGCTCATTTTTCAAAGGGTTCCATCGATGGTTGCTTTGTATTTCTGGGACCATGATGGGGCAGAACATCATGGCAGAAGGACCTGGTGGAGAAAAGCTGATGGCCAAGAAGCAGAGACAGGGATCTAGCAATGGCCCAGGGCAAGGTACAGCCCACAAGGATATGTTCCCAGAGACCTACTTCCTTCAGTCAGTGCCACTAAAGTTTCCAGAACCTCCAAAAATAGTGAAACTAGCTAGGACTTAGTCTTGATAGGAGCCTGTGAGGGGCATTGCATGATCCTATCTTACCTGTCTTTGTATCTTATGAGTGATATTGTATGCACTTCTGTGGTGGCTGAGATGTTGCGGGGAATGTTGGCTGTATGATACAGCAGTGTGACCCAAGAAACAGTAACCCATCTAAGCTAGCTCCGCATTTTCTTCCTAAGTGTGTAGTGACTTCCATTACTTCCTTTTTCTGTTTTCTGGATTCTCACTATTTAGTTTCTATCCTGTCCTTTTCATATGTGTGTGCCTTTGGGTCCCTTAGAGTCAGAGCTTAGAGATCTGGCATAATTCATCTGTTATCCGGGGTTCTGTGTGTTGTGGAGATGAGGACTGTCCACGAGATGAAGAACATCTCTGGGGCTAAGAGTGACATTGATTTGGAGGAGGTGGTTTGGTGGTCCGGATGGGTAGAGTATGCAATGCTTGCCTAGGAAGTCAGCTTTGTATTTCTGTCTGCCATGTCCCTTACAGGCCACCATACTTATTCATAACGTTGTTGATTAATATTCACCCAATCATTTATTCATTGAGTCATTTAATAGCTGAGCTCTGATATTCTATCTTAAGCTCTATGCATGAGGGAATTGATATGGCCAATTTCTACCTTCATGTCACATAGGAAGTAGTAGAAAGGGAGGATGGAATGGGAAAAAATTCCCAACAAAAATGCCCTAATATGTAAATAACAGGTTGAACTGCATTATAGGAGCTGCTCCAGAGAAAAACAGCTCAGTTAAGATTAAAGGTGATGTGTCAGGTAACTTCTAAGGACCAGGGAAAAGTAGTTGAGGGCAGAAGGGCAGGGGGAGCTGCAGAACAGAAACTTGCCCAGCTTGTATCTGAGGTATGATGGAGCATGTCACGTTGGAGGAATCGCAACTGGCCCAGGAGGCTGGAGGTTGGCAAGCTGGAAAGAAAAGGGTGGCAGGCAGGTCAGTGGCCTGGCTTTCTGCCACACCATGGATTTATTCAAAGTACAACGGGAAGCTGTTCAAAGGTCTTAGCCCACGAAATGGAACAGTCCCCTGGCCATTTCACAAAGATCTGCTGGATGGGGCAGACCTAGTAGATGGAGTCAAAGTGGAGACAGCAAAGCCAAGGGGGAGGTTTTGTAAAACTCCCAGTGATAAATACAAGTGACTGGGCTGAAGACAGTGATGGTGGGTAGGGAGAGAAGTCTTGGACTTTAATGTGTGTGTGCATGTGTGGTAACCCATAGTTACAATCCAAGCAAGCTAGAAGAGTTCCTTGAGGATGTTTCATCGAGGAAGGATGGTGGTGAGGGTAGAGCTACCCAGGGCCCACTTGTTTAGAGAAGGAGAAGGAAAGACGGACACCCTCTGCTTTCTCAGCATCTGCTTTCCTCCCTGGATAAAGGGCACATGGCTATGTCAGTGGACTGCTTTTGGCAATCACTCTGTCTACACAGCTCAGGCTTCTCAGACTTGAAGTATAAACAGGGTATAAACCCAAGGGTGATCCTGATACTGCCCCATTTTGGGGTCTTAATTGGACCAGCCATTCTTGATGATGATGCTAACCTGACAAATAGAGAGAACACTGATGGAGGGGACCAGTTCTCAGAAATAATGAAATTAGGTTTTCAAATACTATTTTATACTTTTTGTGCACGCATGCGTATATACTTGTGGGTTTGCATATCATGGTGCGTCTATAGAGGTCAGAGGACAGCTTGAGAGAATAGCTTCTCTCCTTCCACCTGTGGATCACGATCAGGCTCAGGTCTTCAGACTTGGTGGCAAGCACCTTTACTTGCTGAGCCGTCTTGCTGACCCCTGGAGTTGAGTTTTAAGCTATTTATTTTGTACACATGCCAACCCCTAACAGTTCTTCTCCCCTATGTCTTTATTGGTTTCCGAGGTAGGATACCTGGGGCCTACCACTGCATAGCCCGACTTACTAGAAAATTTTCCTCCAAATCAGAAAGTGACTAGATTATGTGTGGAGGGGGTGTTTTCCAGCTGGGGCTCTGGGAAGAGAAGTGAGATACAATTCTTTCTATTGCCTTCTGCAAATATAGACACAGGCAAGCACCAAACTGATTCATTTCTCAGGAATTCAGTGAAAGAGAAAAAGATGTCTCAATTTTGGTGAAACACTTCCTATGTTTGGAAATATTCCTGGGTCTTGAAAAGTGAAATTCAATGGTAGTATCCTGCAGATACCTAAATTTAGACTGTGTATATATGTGTGTTTGTGTGTGTGCTGAATGTGTGCATGTGTATGTTTGTGTGAGTTTGTGTGTGTGAATGGGTGTATGTTTGTGTTTTTGTGAGTGTGTGTTTCTGTATGTGTGTGTCTATGAGCATGTTTGTGTGAATATGTGTGTGTGTGAGTGTGTGTATGTGAAGACTGTGTAAGTATGTGTGTGCGATTGTGTGTTTGCATGTGTGTGTATATTTGTATGTTTATATGAGTATATGTGTGAGTGTGTGTATTTGTGTAAGCGTATGTATGTATTTGCACACATTAGAATGTATAAGAGGGATGGAGAAAAGTGCGTATTTTACTTATGGTATGCAATAGAATCCAGCTCCTGAGGAACCTTCCAGCCTTCTTCGCTGATCAAGCATGTTCCTTTACAGTGTAGTCCTGAGTGGAGACTAGCCAGGGGACAGCTTGTTACTTACAAACGTATTTCAGATGGATAGTTTTCTGCTGAGGGTGGATATTTTTCAGAAACATGACATTTTTCAGCTGAGGGTTGTATATCTCAGATGGTAGAGTGCATGTTGGAAGTCCTAAATTCAATCCCCAACACCATTGCATAAAGTGGGTATCTACCAATAATCCTAGCCAATACTGAGGAGGTGGTGGGAGGAGGCCCGGCAGTTCAAGATTAATCTTACCTGCATAGCAAGCTTGAAGCCAGTCTTGGACGCCTAAGACCTTGTCCTGAAAGAGAAAAGAAATACATGATCTTTTATTCATTCCTTTGGGCTGTTAAAATTTTGGTTATTTATTTATTTATTTATTTATTTTGACCCGGCAGTCTCAAGCATACAACAAAGTAGGATCTGCCTAGCAGGGCTTTCTTCGCTTATGGCTGTTCTTCTTGTGTTCTCATGTATACAAACAGGGTTGTGCTGGCCAATGGATCCATTGTCCCCAGTTTTCTCAGGAAACTAAAGTGGTGGCCAGTGCTGGCCATCAAAGCCAAGAGGACTGAGGCTAAGCTTTGGGCTTTCTCCTGTCTCACCTTCTCCTTATGTGGATCAGTATGTGTGGCCTTTATTCTCAAGAAGACATTCAAATGCAAACTGTCATTGCTCAGGGATTTTTTGAGAAGGCTGTGGTTGAAGGAAGTGCCACCCATCAAAAAGAGGAGAAAAAAAGAATCCACTTAACACAGAACGACTAGAGGGAGAGCAATCACTCATCCTCATTATTGATGCCTTCCACACAATTAGTGTGTTCTTGAGGGAAGGGTGTTTGATCCACCCACAACCCTGCATATTCTCATTGGGTAGATGTGAGAACACAGTACTTCACAGTGAACCCTGCCAATACCCGCGTAGTGAAGGAGAGACCCCAGCTTAGGGCTGCATTCCTGGCTCTGCGAGGGCCCTCTCCCTCTCCTGTTCTCTGAGCACGGAGAGGTTAAGCCTGGCCATTAACCCATAAGTGACCCAAGTAGAGTTTTCTGTTCCTGGGATCCGTTGATTGCCAGGTATAGCTTTGTGGTAATTCTAGCATTTGCCACCCAGCAATTTGAACCTTCTGTCTGCTTAAATGATGATTTTACATGGTAATGGTTGGTACTAAATCCTCTCGCTTTTGCTCCGCAGCCGCTGTTGTGACAAGAAAAGCTGTGGCAACCGAAATGAGACTCCCTCAGATCCAGTGATAATTGACAGGTAGGGACCACTCTTCTTTCACTGGATTCTTAGTCCTCATTATATGCAACACCTGCTTTGTGTCGCTCATCGGCGCGGGTTAGGGATGCATGCGGCTGAAGTTTGCCTGTTGGTCCTGACTTAGACTGCGCCGAGTTATTGTGATTTCTGGGAGAGCCATATGGAATGTTCTTTGGAGGCCTGTTTCTTGGATGGCTCTGGTTTCGAGCCTGATTAATGCACATAAAGTAATATATATGTGTATGTTCATTCCTCACGCTCTGTGGTTCAGTCCCCATGGTGTATCAGGAAGCTTCAGAAATAAAATAATAATAGTTTTTGTGATTTATGAAATGTGGTTGGGTGCTTATAAATATTTAACTTTTATTTGAAAAATGTTTGAATCATTATCACTTTTAGCTACAGTAGTTCTGTTGGACGTAATCCATCTACATTTTAAGGTTTTATTTATGCATAAAAGCAGTTTAAAGAGATCTGTGAACCAAGATTTTTCTCCTGTTATTTCCGGGCTTGATTTCAGCTCGCACAGCATTGTGCGTTGATTAATTTATCCTCCTTGTCTTAATTATTGTGTTTTTAAACAGATCCATATTACTAATCTGACATGACCAAGTAAATCACTGTAGAACAATACATCTGTTTCAGTTCGCCTGTGCAGTTTTGAGTCAGTGTGCACACATTGCGCAGGATGGCATCCCAAATATTCATTTTACATTTTAATTATTGGAATTCATTGTATGGAAACATGTATGATAAACCATTCGTTACATGGCACTACTCATTGAGAATTAAATGGCCTGGAAGGATTATGGAGACTGTCAATTGTCAGCTAGGAAAAGAAAAAAGAATCTTCATTCAAATGAGGCAGATTCCTTCATTGAGGAAATCAACAGCCAAGGGCATGTCCCATTTTGGGCTTTGATAATATCGTCTTAGACAACAGCAAGACAAAGATGCAACGAGAACAATTTGTTAAATTCCTTGTGTTTGTGAATTTTGCTTTATCATTTTTCAGGTAAAGAAACCTAGGTGTCTATTTTGTTCATTCTAGTTTCTGTCCAAAGATTGTTGGTTATGACCTCTGTGAGTCTTCAGGATCTTAGCTCAGCCCTGATCACCAAGTAGCTCTGTAAAACTTTCACTTTAACTGAGTATTGTAGTCAGAGATCTCATGCTAATAGTCATGAATATATATATATTATATTTGATATGCATAATAGCATCTTAATTCCCTGTTATGAGGCGAAGGTTCACTGTACGGTGATTTTGTCTGGTGTCCATTGAATGAGAATGGCGTGCTTCTCAGATATATCATTCATAAGACTGTATTTTCTGACCTGGAAGATAAAAATCTCCCAAAGAATAAGGTCAGAGGCCTACCTCCCTGCGGCTGGTGTCATTTGTGTATCCCTCTCAGAGCGCTGCTTCCTTTTTTAAGCAAGTGTTTCCTATTCTTGCATTAAAAAGAAAGCATCTCATCAAAGAGCCAGCCCACATACTCGGCAAACTTTGAAACCATAAGCATTCTGTGGTGCCTCCTGGTCCTTTTAGGTTTACGTGGTGACGAGGACCTACCGTGCCACCCGCAATGAAAACACTTTTTCCCCCTCTCTTTTGCTTGTGAAAGGGTTAGGCTTTAAAGTTCTTCATTGGGTTTAAGCTGGACTCCGATGCAGAAGGCTGATAGGACTGTGGTTTGAATCCCATCTGATTTTGACCTGTTCCTGTGGGTTGCGATGGCAGGAGAAACTTGACTCAGCGGAGCTGTAATTAGCCCGCCCCGTGTTTTTGAAACAGGATTGTGTTACCTGGATTGCATTAGTGTGGCTTCTATTGTCGCCGCCTTGCATCTGTCCCAGTAGGGTACTTAAAACCCTTTCTTGGCTGGGGGAGTTCAAACAGTTTAGGCAAAATAAGTCTACACTTTAGGCGGTGGGTGCTTTAGCGATATTATTCCTGACATCTATCCTTTTCCTTCCACCCAACCCCACTCCTCCTCCCTTCTTTCGATTAGACAAAGTAGAAAACCTTGTATAGCTAGGTTGATTTCTTTTAAGGTAGGGGCATTTTAAAACAGTCTGAGACATCCTGGATGTGTTCAATCCCAATATCTATTTATTTGCTGGTGTTCGCCACTGTCTGACATGGAGCTACCTTTTCAGGCAATGAGACCAGTTGATAGGCGTAGCTCCCAGTGGGCTATTTTTATTTGCATGTGAGTTTTCAAAGTTCTTCGCTCCTTCAGTTTGCCAAAGATGTAAAAAAAAAAAAAAAAAAAAAAAAGAACAAACCTCCAGTCGGGTCTCTGCCGATACGTGAAACTTCTCTTTCTATTGGCGAGGGATGGAAATCACAAGAGCTCAGGCAAGGACGGACAAAACAAAATATTTTTCAAGTGCACAGAATTGCTGCAAAGGGCAAAAATATGACGGCAACGGTGTTTGAATTTCAGGTTCCAATTTCGTTGCATGTTACAGATTGCATAACTCCATGCTTAGGGTTTGCTTTGCTTTCAGATTTATGGATCTGAATCCCTGAGCCTGCTGCCCTCAATAGCAACAGCCCGTTCTTATACTATGCATACTGTATTCAACATAAGGCCGAGGGCGTGGGCTCTTGTGGCCTTAGAAGTTAGCGTAGCTTTAACACACAGCCACCTCTTTTTGAAAGCTAATAGTTTCTAGCTCCTTTTGCTTGACCTTCAGAATTTGGAAGAACACTGCTATTTTTTTCAGTCAAAGGACTTTTAGCAGTGATTATTCAGGAAGGCTATTTATAGTGAAGAATGGAAGAGGCTTTTTGGTCACACAGCACTGGTGCAGGGCCAGCCGTTTCTGTGTTAAAACTTGGGTACATTATCTCTTGCCAGTGATTTGGAGGCCAGTTTGGCAAATTGTATGTATATGTAAAATGGAATTAACCAAATCAGCAGTTGTACAGACAAGTTTCTATTTCCTTCCAGTGGCAAGCAACAAAGTAAGAAAATATTACCCAAATGACTTCTTTTCAGTCAGGACAATTTGTCAAAATGCTTATTGGAAAATTGCTATGTGGTATAGGAAGGGTGCATCTGGAGCCAGCTGCTGGGTTACGTGTCTGCTCAACGCCAAAGAGCTTGATTAAGAATCATAAAACCCCAGCCTGTGCCCAATGATCCAGCTATTTGGGCTGTGCAGACATGGGAAAAGTCAAATGTGTTAGGTTTAATAGCTGATGAACAGGAACTAACAACAGCAAATTTCATTATCATTGAACTAAAGGGCTATGTGTGGTCATCGGTGTTAAAGTAAAAAGCAAAAACTGACTTTCCAGTTCCTGAATGAAGGTGTGTGTGTGTGTGGGGGGGGGGCTGACTTAACATCCGCACACTAACTCAGATCTGGATTTCAAAGGTTCGCAGTGAAATTCCTGTTTAGAAATTGAGTATGTTGTAGTTCCATTACTACAGTGAATATCCTTGTGTCCTAACCTTTTCCCTTGGAGTGATCTTAGTTCAATAAATAAAACCTCATTAGGTTATTCCCATTTCAACGAGTTTATTAAATTTTGCAGGAGTAATTAGCATAAGCTGTGCTAATTTTTCTGGAAGACTAATGACGGAGGTTCTTAATTAGCTTCCCTTTGTAGGAATAGGAAAGAGGATAATGACAAAAAGCCGCATAGGGTCCTCTGAATTGGGAACCCACTTTTTTAGAATCCATGCAACTTCTGTCTCTCGACGGAAACTTTGTGATACACGCTTTGACTGTGAGGATTAAAAGTAAAGACTTTTAGTCTGTATTTAGTTAGCTACAATTAGGATCCTAGCTTGGTTGAAAAAAAAAATAACAACTTTATTTTCCTAGCTTTATCTTGGAGTGGTGAGATAGATGAACGCAGATGGCCTTACAAAAACACCTCTTTCTTCAAATTCTACCATACGGTTCCTTCCACGGGAAGCACTGTCTCTGACTAGAATATGTGGGACTGGGATGTTCTACATTGTTCTTTAATTTGGCATCAGTGTGATGGATAAAATAGTTAGATCAACTAAGCAAATGAAGGCATACGTTCTTAAAACTAGAGATCTTTAGCTGCCCACACACAGAATTTGTTTTTAAGGGACAGAAAGAATGCAGGATAAACTCGTAACATGTGTCTGTAAAAACCCAATTCTATTAGGATTATGCATAATGTGGTTCAGGCAGCCTGCGAATTTTGGGTCTCCCAAAACCAGCATTTAAAACTTAGTTGTTTAAAACAAATCCACATATACTGGTTTAATGGTTGGGCTTGCTGATTGCCACAATCTTGCCTTGTTTTTTTTTTTTTTTTTCATTGTAAGACTCTGTCTTCACTGATACTTTGAGCTAGGGAGCACCATGTATAACATTAAGAAATGACCCAGCTTTTGTGGCACAAAACCCTCAGCTTCTTTGGAATTAGTTCAGGTAACACTTATGCAAAACTCTCCTAAAATAAAAACCAACACACACACACACACACACACACACAGAGAGAGAGAGAGAGAGAGAGAGAGAGAGAGAGAGAGAGAGAGAGAACAATGACAAACAAACCAAACGGAGAAGAGAAAAAGAACCAAGATTTGTTTTCCAGACCAATTTAAAGTTCTACATCTAGGTCATTTAAATATTAGCAATTGGCTTTTCCATGGTTATGATGCACATGGGATTGTCAGTTAGGAAATAGCTAGAATGTTCATTTTACCCTCCACAGGCCAGTTGACTAGAAAGCCTTGGCCACGCTGGGGTTGTTCAGATAGAAACTTTGATTGAAGGCCCAAACTTGAATCTAAGAGGTCAGGCGGAGAGGCAAGACTTTGTAGACAAGTACAGTTTTATCTCATTATCACGTTAACTTTCTTGACAAAGTTGTTGCCCATGTTTTTACGTTACTGTGACCATCAGCATGATGGGAAACAACAGTCACATGTAAACTCAGGATGCTCATAGGTGATTTTTAACCATTGGGCATGGATAAGCAAATGTATTACACTGAGT